ATTCAGACTGAGTAACTCAGAAAGACTTCATGGCAAAGAAGGATTTGAACTAGGGTAGTAATGCACATGGTGAGTGTTTCCTATGTACTGGACATGGGGCTAAGTTCTTTACATTTACCACATTAATTAGTTCTAGGAAATACTACTGTTACTGTGCTGGCTAGTGTTAAATGCCACAGTCACAGGATCTGGAATCACCTAGGAGACCTGCCTCTAGGCACATCTGTGAGGGATTATGTTGATTAGGTTAACTGAGATGGAAAGACCTACACCAAAAGTGGGGAGCACCGTTTCCTGGCTGGAATCCTCCACTGTATAAAAAGGAGAAAGTGAGCTGAGCACAGTCATTCATCTTCCTGTTTCCTGATTGTGGATATGATGTGACCGTTGCTTAAGGCTCCTGAAGCCATGATTCCCTCCTCCCCCTCATGATGGATTGTAACCCTTGAATTGTGAGCTGAAATAAACTCTTCTCCTTGAGTTGCTTTCCTTAAAGTATTTTATCACGGGAGCAGGAAAAGAAATGAAGATCGTTATTACCCTCTTTTTATCCCTTAAGGAAACTGAGGGCAGAGAGGGGAGGTGTTTGTCTTAGGTCACCCCGGCTGGTAGAAACAGTAAGGGCTGTACTCATTCTCCAAATACATCCCCACCTTGAGTTCATATGTGTTCTTTCATTTTGTGTGCCAATCACTGCTCAATCTTTTCATTAGACTGGGCTGCTTTTTGTAATTTAGAAAGTGTTTGTTTAAAAAGGACACTTTCTATCACTTCCTTAAATGAAAAGCAAAGTCACTTGCCATATATGATTAAAAAAAAACAATAATGCAAGCCAAACAGTGTTGTAAAGTCTAGCTAGAGACAGCAGTCCGGGAACTCATGACCTTGCTCTCTGTCATTACAAAAGGAGATACAGCTGGTGTGGCGGCACACGCCTTTGATCCCAGCACTCAGGAGGCAGAGGCAGGTGGATCTCTGTGAGTTCCAGGCCAGCCTGGTCTACATAGTGAGTTCCAGGACAGCTGGGGCTGCAGAGAGAATAAAGGCCAAAAAAAAAAGGAGGTACAAGATTTTTGAAGGGCTGTGGCTGTGTATTGTGCTTTACCAAGTCTTTCTCTGTGGCCTGCCAGAGTAGAGAAGGGGTTAGTTTCCTCACAAGGGAATTATAAAAGTTGTAATGTTACTTAGTGCCACATCCTTAGGGGCAGAGGCACTCTGACACAGAGTCTGAACAGACAGGAAGATCTGTAGACAAACTCGTGCACGTCAGTGCCCAGAGTGTCCTAGGATGGGGAGTGTGTTTAGTTTGTAGGTAGTGAAGGGTAAGGGGCTTGGACACTGAGAACAGAAAGCACCTGTGGCCCGATTCCAGGTGGCTTTGAACTTCAGACTGAGGTGTTTGGGGCCAGTTCCAGAGCATGAGCAACTGAGGTCCAGAGCCCAGTTGGTCCAGCACCCTGATACTTCCTAGCCTTGCACAGAGCAGGCCCCAGGTCTTTTGGGTTTGCAAAGGGAGATTTAGGAAAAGCGAAGCATAAATCTAAAATGCTTTCTTTGTTCCAGCCCAGGGCCTGGTTTCGTGGCTGGAGTTGTTTTTCTATCCACCTCTGCTCAAGAAAAGGTTATCTATAAAGAAAGAGAAGTAGGACTACTTCCTCGGGAGCGAGGGCCCAGTAAGGACCTGAAGGAAAACTGCCTGAGCTGGCTCTTAAAGCAAGCGCAGGTCAAAGACATGCCCAGCGGCTGCTCTTGAAGATACAAGACAGGGTACATACTGTGACAAAAGGCCATTGGCCCAGATTATTGGCACAGAAGAAGCATCAAAAATTAATGAGAAATTCCCTGACATAACGTTTGAACAGCCCAAAAGAAAGATTTACGGCTCAAGGCCTGAGAAGCCCCAGCTCTAACGGCATTGACCGTGGCAGCCTTCTTATTTGCTTACTGAGAATTGGGAACAACTGTTCTCATTTCAAATCGTGGCTGTTGTTGAAGAAGTTTGGAAAGGGGCTTTGGGAACTGTGAGTGTTGAGTACATGAAGACTGGGATCGCCCTTGTGGAAATACGACATGTCAGAGTGCAGTCACGCAGCGTGGACAGGAGTCCCAGCACAGATGGGAAAAGACCAGAGACTGGCAGGACGAAGAGGGAACAGCCGTGTAGAAACACAGAAGATTAAGACTATTGAGAACAAGCAAGATGAGAGTTCAAATCAATGTAGAACTATCTGCAAGCCCAGACAGACGTCCTGTTGCTGCTGCCAGATGCCAGCTTCCACCCTCAGCTCAGACAGCATCACCCTTCAGCTGCGCCTCTGAGGAACCTGTTCCTGGGAAGCGGGAGCAGAGGGCTGAGAGCCCTTCAGCCAGTGTGACGAGGTAGACCTGTCTTTCTTGTATTACTGTATAGTGTTAACTTTTATATCAAATATAAGTTATAATAAGATTGATTTGACACAGACTTAATGGTATGCATATGTTGTGCTGCCTGGGAACTAGACACAGATGGCTATAAAAATGATGTCAATGATTATTATTATTTAATACCATCAAGCACAGCTTATAGTGTTTCTCTTTTCATTTGCCACTTTTCTAGTATTTGTAGCAAAATCCTTTCTCCTGGCATCATGTTCTATATTTTGAAGATGATGGTGACAGTGACAGTGATTGTCACACATGTGCACACACACATACATTAAGACATGTGTTTAAACATTCTTCTGGTAATGTTTGCTTTCTTTTTATTTTCTTCTTAAAAAATTTTATTTTATTTTCTGTATATGAGTGTATTGCCTGCATAGAGGTCAGAAAAGGGCATTAGATCCCCTGGAACTGGAGTTATGAATCGTTGTTAGCTACCATGTACGTGCTGGGAACCGAACCTGGGTCCTCTGTAGGAACAGCCAGTGTTCTTAACTGATGAGCCACCTCTCCAGCCCCACATTTGCTTTTTTTTTTATCCAACTGCTTTGTCCCTTGTTCCTGTGACCACTTGTCTCTATCTAATTCTCCATCCCCATCTCCAACTGGAGATAGGATGATCCTTGTGGATGATCCTTCCCTAAATCTCTTCTTGCTTTATAAATTGCTAGATCTTGACATCAGAGATTTTAGAATCACCGAGTCCTAAGAATACATTTGGCCCCTGGACCATCCAATAGAGTGGTGGTCTTTTAGCTCTATGATGTTCATCCTTGATTTCTCAGCATTGAACAGGATGCCTGATATGTAATGGGCTCACAATAAGTATCTGTTGAATTTAAAAATAATCTAACTTTATCATTTCATTTTACAATTAAGACTTCACACCCAGAGAAATTTAGTGGTGCATACAGACTAAAAACAATCATGCGGGGCCCAAATGTAAGCCCTTGTATTAGCCAGGATTCCAGCAGGAACAGCAACACTCTTAAGTCAGGATGATCACTCAGAAGAACTGAGTGCTATTTACAAATGTGTGGGCTGAGCGTGGGGCTACCACAGTGGATAGTATGCGTCTCAGGGCAAATAACAGTGGGGCATCATTATGACCTCTGGAGGGAAGGGAGTAGGGTCTTGAGCTGGGAAGGAGACACCCTCAGCTAGCCCAGCGTCCTTCTTCCCTTCCCACCAGTGTCTTCTCGGGGCTTCCCATTGCTCAAACCCAGTAGAAGCTAGAGGCCAGGTCCCCTGTTGAGGGGGTCACCCTACTGATAGAAACCCTATAGGTCAGGCTCCTGGGCAGAGAGCAGGGTAGGGGGTGCATAGCAGGTCTTACTACTTGGTTCTGAGATGCCTCAGAGAAATGTCCAGAGGCAGAGAATCAATTACTAACACCCACCAAGGCCCATCTATGAACTAGACCTCATGCTGGGAGAACCAGGCTCTGGTTCCTTCTCCCTCAAAGCGTCTCTTTCTATCAGAACTCATTTTGGTCTCTTGGTATCACAGTTTTACTACGGTATTTCTGTACGGTATTGCTGCACCTCTATCAGGGGTTTATTTATTGATTGTTATAAGAGGCCACAAGAATGCATTCCAGGCTGGGTGTAGGAGAGGATGGTAATCTAGCACTGAAGGGAAGTAAGGCCATTGGACAGGACTGGATAAGAGCCCAGGGGCCATGCATCAGCTCTATAGTCTCACCAAGGGCCCACAGTCTCATTCTACCAAGCACACTGTAAGATGTCAGGATGGAAGAAAGCTCTAGTCCTGGAAAAAGGACAACAAAAGGTGAGAAACAGGAGAGGTGGAGCTAGAGCAGGTGAGCAGGCTGCGGTATCCAGCCCCCACTTCCCGAGGGTGTCCCCAGCAAAAAGACCGAAACAGCGAGCACGCCATGCATTAAGAGCAGCAGAGCGTCAGGGAGTGGTCAGGCTCAGAGGCTCTGAGTCATTTGCCAGACTGCAACAGCTGAAATGCTGATTAGAACTGGTCAGACCTCCAAGACACTTCCCTGGAACGAGGGTGTTCAGAATCCCAAGGTGTGTTTAATGAATGCTACTGTTATTAAGAGGGCACACTATCATCTGGCCCACATAATGGGAGTAAATTTAAATTCATTTTTAAAAAGAAAAATCAGTTCGCTCTACTTCTAGGATTCCTTCACACTCATCAGCTTTGTTTCCACTGCAGTGGTCTGAATCTTGCCTTTTCCAAAGGGGGAGGGCTGCCTTGGGGAAGGCAGAGAGAGCTCCTCTGCTTCTGTTTGTGTTTGCTGGTAAGCCGAGGTTTCAGATTACATTCTCCTGCCTCCCGATACAGATACAGAGAAAGGCTTTGCAAATATCTGTGAGTGCTTTTTTATTTTGAAATTTGTGTGTGTTTTTAAAAATAGATAGTACATCATGGTGTGGTTAAAATCCAGAGTACAAAATGTATGCTGTGAAAAGACTTCCTCCCTACCTTTTTCCTGTCTCCCTGCTTGGCCCTGCCCCTCCGTTGTGTCATAGGAAGGCTTGTGGAATTTATTTAATTTACAAGCAAATACCAATATAGAATCATAATTTTCTCTCTTTTTCACATAAAAGGTAGTCTATTTTTAGGTGTAAATTTTAAAATGCTACACATCATAGAATTTTATTACAGATGCCGAGAACATATTTTTATGACAAATTTTTCATTAAGAACATTATTTTATCAAGTAAAATGCATATACAAGTTGAGTGTCCCTTCTCTAGGAAGTTTAGGATCAACCTGACAGTTCGGAGATTTTAGAATTTTTTGGATTTTGAAATATGTATGTGTGTGTATAAGAAAAGACCTTGGAAATAGGGCCCAGGTCTGAACATGAAGCTTAGCCATATTTCACATAAATCTAATTCCCATCCAAAGTTAGTTTATATGACATTTTTAGTGTGTCTCATTGTTGATTGCAACCTATCACGTGAAGTCAGGTATGGAACTTTCCACTTGTCATGTCAGTGCTCAAAAAGTTTTGGATTTTGGAGCATTTTAAATTTGCATTAGGGATGCTCAGCCTATATTTGCTATAACATCTAAACTACATCTCACAATGTAGGCCATGAAGGGGTAAGGGTCCCTAACTAAACCAAAGGAATGCCATTTAAAAGTGACCTCCCGTTTCTGAATAAGTTAATAGTTAAACGTAAGGTGAATTTTGTACTTGTTATTTCCTTGCAAACTTTGAAGTCAAAAACAATGCACAATACCAGGGATCCAAATTACCGCAAATACCACAGAATGTCTTGATCAAGAACACAGGCAACTGCTAAATTGCATACACCTGCTTCTGTGAACATGCTTGCTTGCTTCAGCTCGGATAGGGGATTATGATCGAGTATTTTTGGAAATTAAACTCTGACCGCTGCACTTGTCTATAAAAACTGCAGCTGTGAGTTGCCACTGTTTTCTGAGCACTCCCCCGGAGTCCAGGGACAGCCCTGCCGTAAATAAAGCATCCTTCCTTGCTTTTCACTGGCGAGTGGTGACTGCTGATTTGTAGCCACTACAGGCTATGTAATTGTTGAGGCTCACAGCACTCCCAGGTTCCGTACTACTGTTCACCACTTGAAAGTAACTAACTCAAAATGTAAGGCATAAACTAAGGCTCCATCCAGGGCTTCAATGGCAGCAAGTGAGTTAGGGCATCTTGAGCTTTATGAGAACTCTGTTGCCTGCTTGGCCTCCTGTGACACCAGGCATTTGAGCCTGAGAGAGGAAAGGTTTGAGGAGGACAAATTTGCCTATGAGAAAGAGCAGTGGGGCCTCCCAGCATGTCTGCATTGCAAATGTGGCAGGGAGAATTGTTCTATAGAGCCTGTGCCTGTGTGTGGCAGAAAGAACCTGGGAACTTGGGGGGCTGTAGAGCCCTTTGTGATTATATCCCGTGGGAGCATTTAAGGAAAGGTTATACTAAGGGTTAGAAATACTAGATTCAGGGTCACCTGGTCTTGGTGCTCAAAACGTTCAATAGAGACTTTATATAATGATCTTGTGTGGCTTTTCCAGAAGGGATTTTAGGTCTGACTTGTTCCTCTCAGCTGGGACCTTGTGTGCAGCTTTATGTTTAAAGTAGGTCTGACCACAAGGCAAATGTTGCTAGTGTTTGCCCGGATACCTAGGCTGCTCCTGGGTTATCTCTGTAAATGTGCCCAGGTATGCATGTCTTTGCAATGAAGTGCGTCTTCTAACTCTTGTCCTTAATTAAGCCTTGAGGTTCGAGAATGTGCTGTGGAGGTTTGAAGGATGAGGTGAATATAGGGACATTTTCTTGGAGACCCAGAGTTTTATTATGATTTAAAGGGCCATACTGGAGAACAGCCCAATGAGACAGAGCTCTCACCCTAGCTGGACTTTTGCCCTGGCTGGACCTCCTTCAGACACTTGCCAGGATGTTGCCTCTAGCATTGTCTTGCCCAGCCCATGGGGTGGCTCTCGTTTTGCTTCCTGGTAGGCCTCTGCCTCAGCCCTTACCCTCATCCTGGTCAAGGCTTGAATTAGTCCAGAAGCCAGTAGCTTCCAGATCCCCTTAGACCCTTAAGTCTCAACTGCTTTTTAAATCTATATATAAACTGACAGGTCTCCAAACTGTTAACTTTTGAGATCAATGACTTAATCTAGAACTTGGCCTGGCAGACTTCTCCATCTCTCTCCCTCCTGACCACTCACAAGCAGGGCCCTTTCTCACACATCTACATTGTTTTCCACACTTGCAGCATTCATCTGCCGCTTAGGGGGTCTGTTCTATTCTGCGTTAAATAACAAACTATTAAACTGCAACCCCTGCCCTCCCTCACGCAGAACTGTCAGAATGAGGACGTGAGTAAAGAGACTTGGAGTTTGCAGGGAAGAGACTACCATCATCAGTGTCCTTTCCAAGGACCATAAATAAGTCATTTTAATTATATTCTCCTTTTACCATCAACAACCATCTGTAGTCTCATCTTCAAGAATACTCTCACATGACAGGAGATCAGATTCCCTGGCCTTGTTGTTTGGGGAAGATTACGTTTCGTTCGATGTTTAATTGACAAGCTATACTTACTGTAGCCATTGCTGGAGAGATAGGAAAGCTGTCCAGTTTTGAAGAGATGATAGACGGTTTGGGGATAGAACAAAGGGTACTGGATGGCAAGTGTCCTTGTCCTTTGGGCTGAGGCCTTTGGGGTTCATCTTCAGTTTCATCAGCAGATATATGGCTGCCACTCTGATTCTGTGTGAAATGCCATCCCAAAACAAAGCAAACAGCTGGTAATGACCTTGATTTAAATCTTCCAGTGTTCAGAAAACATTCGCTTTTAAAGATGTCTAAAAATTGTGATAAATAGTAATACAAGAGAGGGAAAAAACAAAAAACCCAGTGTCTGTGTCAAAGGGGTTTCCAATAAGTTTTATGAGGCTCTGAGAGGTGAAACGTAACTATGGAAACATAATTAATGCTATCAAGACCTTGACTTGAAATTATGTTTAGAGAAGAATATAAATGTCACCATCTCTTGTTTTGAGAAGACAACAATTTCTAAATGTTGAATCAGTCATCAGTCTACACCAGGTATTTCTCATTATCTTGTTAACTGGCCGTTAAAGGAAGCAGGTTACCTCTTAATTCTTTCAGATTCTGTCTCCCTGTAGGGGAGTGTAATACTTTTCTTCTTTAAAACATCACCTCTACCTCTTAAAAAGATCTCTTTTTTACATTTCCTGACTGATTCTTATGGCATTTCAAAATTTAGTTGACATCTACTCTTTTGATTTACTCAATTTCTGTACCAATGTTATATAATCAATTTCCCCACTGGTACTAGAAGGGGAAGGGCATTGCCTCCTTAGTTTTCCTGTGTTCCTAGAGGTGAAGATGCTTTCTTATCTCAGGAACACAGCACCCGAGTCTCCGACCACTGATGGGATAAGATGCATTTGTAACCCAAATGAAAAAACTATTCGCATTTCTGCCGGTGGGTTTTCCCACCCCGTGTAAAAGCATAACTTGACATTTATTTACTCTTTCCCTTCGAAAAATGTCTTATGTTTTGAATGTTTTATCTCCCGAATGGTAACTATCAAAATTCAATACTTCCAGGACGAAAATAGAAACATTATCTTCCTGATTCTAACTTAGACTATGACTAAGTGGGCTTTAGCAGAAATAAGGCTTTTGATCACAGGTTACTTAGAGCAAGGTGTTTTAGCATTATAGTTAAGGTAATAGGCATTCAACTGCTTGATCATGTGTACTGATAGCAGAAAATCACCTTAATATTTTGTACTTTGTTGGTTCAGGAATTGAAGTATGTCCCGAAATACAAAGTTACCATCTTCTTCATTTTCGCAGTCCCAGGCTGCATGAGGTACAAACATCTTTCATTTTACGTTGTGTGAGGGATCTGAAAATGCCTTCTTAACACCTGAATTCACCTATCTTTCCTTTATCTAAAAATGGTGAGGGAAAACAATTTTTCAGAAGCCAATAAAGATAACTATTTCGAAACTATTTTTTCTTTAGGAACATAAAAGCATTCAGTTGTTAGAATCCAGTGTTATTTTTACAAGAGTAGGAACCTTAGATTCTAATATTACTTTTTTTTCTAAAATAATAACCATATGGTGTGCTTAATGATGAAAAATAGCTCTTAAAAGTAGGGAGACAAATTTATGAAGAAAGAAACCCTAAGAAAAAATCTTCCACAGGCTTTTTAGCTTCCCGTTTTCATGCATTAAATGCCAGCACATGAGTGACATTATGTGCATCGAATAAATGCAGATTATGCTGTTTAATGCAATTGTTTGAAGAAGCAACTGGAGAAAAACACATTGGCTTTGAGAAAGTAATTACCTGAAGAGTTGTGTTATGGGTTCCCAACCTATAAATGAAAGAGAGAACATCAAGTGAGTTACTCCATTCAGGCCTCATATCTCCACACCTCCCAAATCCAGCCTTGCCAGAGAAGTCCCCCTCAACTAATAGGTATGTGGGAAGCATTTTAAATTTAAGTCTATAATGGAAATTTCTCATGCAGCAAGCATAAAATTTGATTACTTAAACGCCTAAAACCTCTCTGTTTCTAGAGAAATGAGAAAATGACATCTTACCTGGGATAACTGAAGATTCCCCTCCATTTGTCAAGAAATAAAATTTTCCTAGTAATTTCATCTAAATCCAGCTCTTGGGGACTGTGTTCCTGGCCTGAGACCTCTGTATCCATTTAGGTAATGTGAGGACTTGGAAGAAGGAAGCTGTTTGATGGGAGAAGCAGCCTGGCTGTAGACAGGCAAGGTGTCTGGAACAGCTGGTTGGATAAAGGGTACCAACCACCCCGGCAACAGAGAGCTCAGGCCACACAGTTGCTGCTCTGAGCTGACTGTGGGCCCCTGCTATCAGACCTTGATTAAACTTTCATTAGAAGAATACTTTTGTATTTTAGTTTATTGTATAGGTGCCATGATGTTTAATCCAAGACAAAGATTTATTAATAAAAGGATGGCTTACCTGTATCAAAGATGCAGGAGATGATGTAATTGAGATGCTATGCAGGTGGAATATGATAGCTCCTTATGCTGGGGTATCTCTTGGGAAGTGTTTGTGGAGCAGAAATATGCTGCCAATTGGGGTGAAAGCTATCCTGCTCACATAAAAAAATCATTCAGGTCAAGGAAGACACTGGCCAACAGGTATCTGTTGTAGAACTTAGTGTAGAAAGCCTGGCACGGTTGAAGAAGTACTGATCTGATTTCTTTCAAAGAGACATCCAAAAGTCCTATCTCTTCCTATTGGCTTAATACATTGTAGTTGTAATAATTAGCATAATAAAATTTATTGGTGGTCACGATGATTTATTTTACATGCCAATTTGGCTACTTCTGGTGCACCCGTTATAGCCGCTTAAACAATATAGATATTAGTATGGAGGAATTTGATTTTTAGGTGTGACTAAAATTTAAATTAGTAGGCATTGATTATAACAGACTTCCTCCCACTGTGGTAGACCTCATCCTGTCAGTTGAAAGCCTTAAGAAGAAAGACTGAGGTCACTTGGGGAAGGAGTTCTGTCCCTCCAGATTCCAGTCTTCAACATCAACTCTTCCGCAACTGTAGCTTCCTGATCTGCTCTCGTAGATTTCAGACTGCCTGATTCCCTGAATCCTATGAGCCACTGTGTGTGTGTGTGTGTGTGTGTGTGTGTCCATTCATGGGTTCTATTTCTTCAGAGAACAAAGAATTAATTACTAATGGAAGTTTTATTCCCTCTTCTGATTACTGCGTATCAAAACTGAACCTCTTCAGCACAACTGTAGCTTCCTGATCTGCTCTCGTAGATTTCAGACTGCCTGATTCCCTGAATCCTATGAGCCACTGTGTGTGTGTGTGTGTGTGTGTGTGTGTCCATTCATGGGTTCTATTTCTTCAGAGAACAAAGAATTAATTACTAATGGAAGTTTTATTCCCTCTTCTGATTACTGCGTATCAAAACTGAACCTCTTCAGCAGGAGGCCATCTTCTCTACAAACACTTCTGAGCATCAGTTATAGAAAATCCTAGGCACACAAAGAGTCACTTAAATTTATTGTGACAAGAGTGGTCATGGCTGAGAGGATTGGGTATTTGTAGTGTAGAGACCTTAAAACACAGCAAGGCACTAAAAAACAGGTAGCTTTAGACTTCTGGAATCCAGCCTGAGAGCACTATCACCAAGTTCTTAGACTAGTTTTGGGTGCTGTTTTAACCCTTTTATAGTCATATGTCCCACAAATGTCTACAATATTTAATATTTTTGTTATAAACCAAAGAGGTAAAAATAAATCCTTTTTATTGCCTTCTCTACCACAAATCTTTCTTAGTCTAAAAAATAAAAAGCACTTCTCTTTTCCTCTTTGTAATTTTACAATTTTAATGATGGCATCAGTATTCAATATATATTAGGCACTCCTAGTATAGAAAAAGAAATAAGAAATTGCATAATGCTTGTTCTCAACTAATGTAATAATGAGAGATGTTTGTAAATTCCCTGTTTAGAAAATCATATTAAAAATAAATTCTAGATCTGCCTTTAAATTATTTAATGACTCAAAACTGAGAAAAGGAAGCTGTTAAGAAAACTATTTTTTCTTAAAAATCATTATTGAAGGTGTATATCTGGGGTTATGTTTCTGTCTTGATTTACACAGAGCTCTGTAAAGGCAGAAGCATAAATCTCAATGAATAGCCAAGTTACCAATGATACCAGGGGCCCTTGCAGATAGCAGGGCAAAGAAGACACTGGCCTGCCTCTCTATAACGGAGGACGCACTCAGAGAGAAAAAGACTATGAGAGGAGCACAGAGCATGAGCCAGAGACAAGTGTGGGGTTAAGCACAGACTCTGAGCCCAGGATGCTTAGCTCTGGAGCATAGGTTCACCTTTAATATTTATAGCCTTGGACAAAATAAGCTGTCTGTGTGTGGGTGGTTTTTTTAAAAATATTTTTTTGCCATCTGTGAGATATGAATAGTTTGACATCTTTTTTTGAGACTTCTAATCTATGAACGTGGTATAGCATGTTTAGACCATATGACCATATTTATTTTCCTGTTGCTCTCTGGACTGAATTCCCAGAGGTAGTTAAATCAAACGCTAACAGTTATTTAAGAGACTTGGATTGCTAAGCACCCTCACTGTTCATGATGTTTCTTGCCTTGCCTCTTTCACTACTCCTATCCTCAGGTTGCAGTTCATAGTCCCACCCTTTTCCCAATCTGAGATTACCGAGATTTAGGAATGAGATTCAGCGACATCCAGCAGAAGCCGCTACTCTCTTTGTGTGCTTGGTAAGAAGACTTAGAGCAAGGAGGCTGGATGTAAAACGTAGAGGAGGAAGAGGGGGTGAGACTGGGAGATCCTGGACCAGGCTTGAAGGGCTGGGATGGCCGAGGCACAGAAGCATGCGTCCTTCTGCATTTTTATACCTTTGCCCTTATCCCAGAGCACACAGGCACCCAAACCACTGGTCTCAAGACCGCAATGAAGAAGTGCGGGTAGTTTGAATACGGAGTGTGGAATTCCAGGCAGCTATTGCTCTGCCACAGCAACAGGACTGAGCAAGTACAAAGCTGGGGCTCCAGGGGGAGAAGCTGCATTTCTGCAGCCCCACAGTAGCGTGATGGGGAACAGAGGCGGGTCTGAAACCTGATCCTGACATGAAGAGCACGCACTATGTCCATTTGCTTTCAGTGATGTTTAGTGCTGATTCTCAACTTGACAGATCTGGAATCACCTAGGAGACAAGCCTCTATGCACACCTGTGAGGGATTATTTAGATTAAATTTGCCAATTTGCCTCTGGGCATTATGGGACTATGTTGATTAGGTTAATGGATGTGAGAAGACTCATCCTAATGAAAGGTAGCTTATTCCCTGGGCTTGGGTCCTAGACTGTGTGGAGGAGAAGGTTAGCTGAGCACAAACCTTCATTGCTTTCTTCTTCCTGACTGCAGATCAATGTGACCAGCTGCTTCATGTTCCTGCTGCCTTGATTTCCCTGCTAAGACAGACTGTACCCTCCATCTGTAAGTCAGAACAAGCCTTTCCTTCCTTAAATTGCTTTTTTAGGTATTGTATCACAGCAACAGCAAAAGTAAGACACTTTCATTGTTCAGGCCCTATGGAAAGCAGTGTGGAGAACTCTTAAAAAACTACAAATGAACCTACCATTTGACCCAGTTATACCACTCCTTTTGACCTGGCTATACCACTTCTTGGCATAGAATCAAAGGACTCATCCTGTTGTAGAGATACTTGTACATCCATGTTTGTTTCTGCTCTTTTCACAACAGCTAGGACATGGAAACAATCTAAGTGTCCCTCAACTGACAAGTGGATAATGAAAATGTGGTTCATTTATACAATGGAGTTTTACTCCACAGTGAAGAAGGATGAAATCATGAAATTTGTAGGTCAATGGATGGAACTAGAAACTGTTATACTAAGTGAAGTAACACAGACTCAGAAAAAAAAAACACCCCCCCAATGATGTATGTTCTCCCTCATATGTAGATCCTAGCACCAAATCCTGATAAGTGAATATGTATCCAGACATAACTACAGGAACCAGGATAATGGAAAGGAAACAGGGTGGTAAAGGAAAAGAAAGAAACTGAAAGAGAAGAACGGTAGGGAACAGGCCTTAATAAGGGAGATATGGATAAAAATTGTGTTAGTTTAAGGGAGAGGGGAGGGAAGGGTATACAAGGAACCTAGGGAATAAAGGGAAAGAAGGAGCTCAAGAGAGGTGGGACCATAGGTGAAGGGTATTATTAAGGGAGAAATGGGAAAATGGGGGCACTTTAAGTGGGGAAACCATGGCAGAAGGTTATACAGGGAGTGAGAGGAAAGATAAATAATGCCTAGGTAGTTTTTAAAAAAAAACAGAGGGAACCATATTAGTTCACCAACCTACTGAAAACTTATACGCACAACCAGATCAAAGAATATAATGTATGTCTAGGCAAGATTTATCTGAGAACATTTGGTCTTTGCCCAAGCTTTATCTACATGGCACATGGTAACTGAAAATACCAGACTTGTGGAACTAACCTTCTTGGATGTTTAACAGCCATACTTTGAGGACTATACCAATATGGTCAAAGGTACATAAAGGACAGTTTTTGCTCCTTGCCCTCCTAGGTCGACTAAGTTCCAGGGGACTATGGAGCATCTCTCAAAATGTCCTGTAACTGTGGTGAGTCCCCTGTCCTCTTGAAGAAGGAGGCTGTGGAGACCCGGCAGATGGGCTTGAACCAGTGTCCAGTCTACAAGAGGAGGGTCAACACAGAGGAATCACTTCCTCCATGTTTCCAAGCGAAGCCAGCCATGGTCGAGTAGGACCTTTGACTTATCTCCACATAGGTGGAACTGGTAAAAGAAAGGAGCCTGAGGCTCCTCCCAAGCCCACTAACCCCTGAGGAACAGATCCTCAAACATTATGGGTAAGAATAAATTGGTTTATCTGGGACAATTGTAGGGCCTTAAACACCCAAAAGGAAAGCATAACCAAAGATTAAAGGGGTCAATATAATTTTTTAAGAGTCCATATGTATAGCTAAAGGCTATATAACAAGAAACAGTGCCAGACAGGAGATACATTCCTTTGAGTTATTGGCTAGGGTGGCCCAAAAGACTCCCAGACAGTAACCCAGCATAGAGCTGGGAAAATGAACAGCAGACCCCAATC